AAAGCCAAATTACTATTTCACAGCAGAAACCACCATAGACTATAAACATAAAAAAGGAAGAAAACTTAGTGCACAATCACTGCACTGCTAGTATCCAGCACATTATTCAGTACATTGGTTTGAGACTGAAGTGGGGTGAGCCAAATGTTGTAAAGGAACCGGATGCATGTTTTCTACATTCTAAAGAACCCATCAATATCTAAAAACCATAAATAGTAGGGTAGATATGTACACCTTGAGATGTAAGAACAATAAAGAAAAATTCAGGCTAACATTACATTTTTATCATGTTTTAAGATCAAGAATATGGGGGTGGAGGGAAATGATGCTAATTTCAGTTGAATTGTTGATATAAATTTAGTTCAAGCCAGCAAATAATCATCTTAAAGATGTAGGTTTTGGACTTGTCCTTCTCTACATTCCATCTTTAAACATAATTGGAAGTTCCATTCATCCCTAGTGGATCTTCAGAAGGGAGCCTGAAAATTATTTTATTTTCTGTAGAAGTAGAATCTGGCCTCATTGCTTCACACTGATAACCATGATCTTTAACCCAAATGAAAATCTGATTATTTTTTCTGTAAGCCAGAAGGGACACTTAGCTAAGATGCCTTTATTTTCATAGTCAATCTAGTTTTCCAGAAGCCTTACTGATGAAGAGGCAAAGGAATTCAGTGGAGTTTACATGCTTTCCATGAAGATACTTAGCTAAGTAGCCCTTTCTTTTTGAAAGTTATTTTCTCAGATACTCTAAGTCAAGAATTGTTTGTTTATCTCAATTGCTCTGAAATATAGAACATTATATTTGGTATAATATAAAGAGTAAGCACATCAGACAAAAGGAAAAGAGAGAATATGCCCTGGCTGGTTCGGCTCAATGGTAAGAGCATCTGCCCATTGACTAAAGAATTGTGGGTTTGATTCCCAGTCACGGGCACCTACCTGGGTTGCAGGTTCAAACCTTAGCACCAGTTGGGATCATGCGGGAGGCAACCAATCAATGTGTCTCTCTCACATCGATGTTTCTCTCTCTCCCTCTCTTCCACTCTCTCTGAGAATTAATGGGAAAATATCCTCAGGTGAGGATTAACAAAACAAACAAAAAAGAATTTTCCTATTAATTTTGACCTTTTGATGCACTCATCTCACATCTACTGATTGCATCTACTCTTAAATGACAATTTTGTTGTTGTAATTGACCTGTAAAGGGTTGTATTTCAAACATGATGTATGAAGAAAAATGGAGGAGAGGCAAAAAGGTTATTATGTACTTACCATCTGTAGAAAGTCATTTTAAGTAGATGAAAAGTAAAACAACGTGCTCTTTCACTCAGTGATGGAAAGATCTATCTACATGGTGAAGAGGCTCTGAGAGGGAGGGATTAAAACTAGTAACTATTTTAAAAAAATACCTGTATGTCACTTTGCTCATAAATCTCTTATTATAGCCATTTAAATGCTCAGTAACCAACTCTAACTCTCTTGCATTCCCTTTTTGCACACTATATGTGTGAGTCATATGTTGGCAAAATTTATGGATGGCAGTGGTAACCCTGAAAACTCAGATCAATGGGCAATGGACATCAGGAGGGCAGGTACATTTAGTAAGTGCCTTATGTAAACCACAGCAAAAGATAGAGGCAAAGAAATTTTCATTTCCTGAGGCTGTGAAGTTACTGCATATTTCATGTCACAGAATAGATAACATAAAAGGACAGGAGGAAATTTGCTTGTTTCCACAGCATTCCTTGAAAATAATTCATTGAGGGGATTTGGAAGAGGGTGTCAATGGGGGGAAAAGGAGAAACATCTGTAACAAAAATAAATTAATTTAAAAAACAAAAATAATTCATTGAAGTGGACTCTGTTGAAAACATGCACATATTCTGAGTATGTTTTTTTCCCAGACAGATTTAGCATCTTAATGGGATAATAAAAGCTATTATTTGGGAAATATACACACTGTTCCCACCAGAGTGCATAGAGGTGTTGGTAGGCACTGAAGGAGGAACAGAGAGATGTGTCCTGAGGAAGTCTCTTTCTTGTCTCCTTAAACATTTAGGTCTTCTGCACATACGAACAAGCACTGGGAGGGGAGAACTAGATGTGGTTGGCATCTTAAAAGATTTATGAACTGCTAAATTTAGAAATGTCATTTTGTTATTGCCAGAATTCTGCTGGCGTCTTTGTATGAGTCACTAAGAAAAAAACAGCAATCACCTCCTTTGCAAGAGCTAGTATGAGTAACCGAAAATGGGTTCAATTAATCATTTTAACCACTGAATTCACTCTGGATAAACAAAGTGTGTATCAGATGATATGCCCTAGAAAGGTAGTCATCCTTACAAAATGCTACTCTGCAGCTATGCTCTTCTCATTATCGAATTGCAGATAGTTCTCTGAAAGAAAAAACTGTTCAAGCAAAATATTAAACAGCATTCATTTGTCATTTTCCTGCAGGGACCAGGCAGCAACCTGCTGTGGCTGAAAATATGTGGTCATTATGAAGCTGGTATTGAATTGTTTGTTTATCTTGGGAAGAGAAGAGAGAGTTCGATGGTGCTCCTTTTTGATGGGTAATTTCAGGCACTTCTGCTTTCTAGAGGCAGATCCTCTGTCCAGAATTGATCCTAATAGATGAGTCTGTAAACATGCTGTTTGTGTGTATGTGTTTTTTAATGTTTACATAATTTTCTGTGCCACAAGCTCTTTTCAGCCTGAGGAGTGACAATGAGTTTCATTTTCTTGTTAGTGTGTAGTGCTTTACATGACACACAGTTGGGCTGCTTGCTTTTTCGGAGACCTGAGGCACGTGTGTAAATGGCCTGAGTCAGGAAGCCTAAGCCACTTTGGTGACTGGGGACAGCAGGCTTTGGCTCCTGGATGGGACTGTTCGGCTCCTGGATGGGAGAGTTCAAGGTCTATGGTTGTTTGCTTTGTCTTCCATTCTGGCACAGGAAGAAGCAGGTGTTATTTTTGTTTTGTTTTGTTATGTTTTTTTTTTTTTAAGTAGAGAAATCTTGGTTTGGTTTCTCCTCTTTCTTCTGCTCCTTTTACTCCTCCTTCTTTTCCTCCTTCTCCTTTCCCTCATATTCTTCTAGTTCTTATTTTCCTCTGCAATGCTATAATACCCACAGAATTAAAAAGCAAACTGAGAAGAAAACAGGCTACACAGACCTACTCAAATGCCCCAAGGTGGATAAGAACCTAGTTCACTTACAAGTAACTTTAAATACCATCCTTCTAGCACCCTTTTAGCTATGAACAACCTTTAACCAAGTCCTTTATTCTGCCACTCAAACCTGTTTTCATTTACTCTGAGCTCAGAGAACACAAGGAGCTTGTCCCCATTTTCCTTACTCAAAGGCTGCACAGTCACCTTTCAACCCGTTTAATTGAAAGCAGAGCCGCTTCATGAACTTCATCTCCACACTTTGGGTCAATGTGGGGCACTCTTCTGAGCCTGCTCTGCGGTTTTCCAGACATCCGTTAGGTCAAAAAATGTAGAACTGTACCTATTACTGCACAAGGTACTTGCACAGGGCAAGTCAATCATAAAGTTCAAAATAAGCAGGCCAATGTATGTTCTCCACTCTGTTCTATATTCCAGGCCAAGTATGTTTTGTAGAAGTGAGGATCTGCTAGCCCAATTGTCTGGTAAAGGAGGTGACCTGACTGCCAAGCACAGGACTACATTGAGAAAGGAGTAAAACTTCGTAGTTCTCTCTCCATGCTGTCCTATTTGTTTCATATTTAGGAAAGAAGAAAAAAAGCCAGTTTTGGTGAAGAGCAGAAAGTAAGAGAAGTCTATATCACTGGGATGGTTGCAAATAACACTTATGCTTGGAGAATGTACTGAATCTGATTACGTCCTGATAATATTGATTTGTAATCCTTTCCATTAAAAGATCCTTTCAAAGAGTTAGGAGGGGACAGCAAAGTGCAGAGACTTTTGAGGAGAAGAGTTAGAGCTAAATCAAAATCTTACTTGTTCCATAAACTATAAAGTTGTTCTTCCAGGCAGAAAGGAGACAATTGCAGGCTTTATTACAGTCTGAATGGAGGGGTTTTAATTGCTCAGATATACTGCAATGCTTCTTTGCCTCATTAAGTGTATTAACAGTTTGATCCTGCAGTGCAAAAAAAAAAAAAAAATTAAACTGAGTAAAAGCATGAATTAAATAATAAGCTTACAGCAATATACATACAAAGCAATTGACTCTGACATGATCTTTCCTTTGTTTTTATTTGTGTGTGTGATTCGACTTTTTGAAAAAGTTTTACTTCTTCTCTCACAGAATATTGCTGACTGAACACCAGTGAGCTATAGCAATTAATACATAAAAAAAATTAATAGCCACCATTTACTCAGTTTCTACTATGTGCTGGATACTTAATATCTCCTATATAATTACCTAATATACTCACTCCATCATTTAAATGTATTAGACACTTACTGTATGTTGTGCTCTGGGGTAAAGATGTGAACCTTACGATGTAGTCATTCTTATCTCTATTGTATAGATGAGGAAACAGAGAAGTCTAGAGAAGTTAAGACTTACTGAAGTCCCATAGAACATCAGTGGTAAAACTTAGTTTTGAACTCAAGTCTCAAATGCTGAGGTTCTTCCCCAAAATTCTCCCTTTCCCTCCTTGACTTGTCAAATTTATCTTGCTTCTTAAAAAAAATGCATGTAAGAGAAGCACAGTTTCTCAGCCATAACACTACCTTCAAGATAGGTAAGGGCATTATATTGCAATGACAATTAAATATTTTTGGATTTTTTTTTATATATCAGAGAAGCCAAGAGAAGGTCTTTGTTTGTTTTTTTTAAACCCAAGATTGGCTAGAGCTGAAGCTTTTGGAATTTTAATGACCAGTTCATTGTGAGCACAATGTCATCACACAGTGTAAGGATTTATCACAATCATTACAGTATTGTTGCAGCTATTGATTTTGAAATAAAATGCAAAATTCCAGCTCTTCAAAGTATGATTGTGTGCTTGCTTTGACAACACATATACTAAAATTGGAATGATACTGAGGAGATTAGGTCCTTACACGAGGATGACATACAAGTTCATAAAGCACTCTCTATTTTTTGTAAATAAAAAAATAAAATACGATTAATGAATTTTATCTTTTCACTTTATTAAGCTCTAATACTATGTTCTTACTTCTCTCTCTATCTCCCCCCCTTCTTACTTGGGGCATTTTATCTAAGCCACAGAATTACAGGTCTGTGTGTCATTGTAGTTTATGGTTGGTTAAGTTAGGTCAGGGTGATAACATGAGGAAATTTTAATAATCTTTGTTTTAACAAGCCTATATTTATATCATTGTCAGAAGTTAATTGCTCTGTTATATTCCTGGTGCTGAGGATTACTGAGTACTAAGGGACAGTGGTAGGGGACAAAGGTTTTCCATTCTTGTAAAAACTACCTCCTTAAAAGTTGTGCTACTGACAAGGAGGAGGTAATTACTCTGCAATAGTTGACTAGCTCTTGAACAACAAGAAAAAAGGAGGTGTTTTATTTAGGTACCAGGGGATACTTCTGAAGTTCTAAGTTATATGGAGCACTGAAAGAAAATGTTTATAATCTTATAAAGTTCCTGTATCTGGATGCCCATGTCCGCTGGATAACACGATTTTATCCTAGAACTGCACACGAGGGGTCCTTTGTGATAACAGCTGTAACCAGTTGTCAAAGTTTATTTTCTGGTAAACTTTCTTTCGTGAAGGGAAAAAGCAGCAAATACTTTCGTTTTTATTCTCTCCATGTTTTCCTGGAAGCTAAGAGGGATCTGCCTGAACTTGAACTTATTTGCTTGGGACCAAGAATATGAGTTAGGGTCAGGAAGAGGGACAGCCCAATAGTAGATGACAGCAAGATAATCCTTAGGGTAATCCTCCAAAATTTCTAGGACAGTCACTCAGTCATTTGTTCTCATTGAAAGTGGAATCAGAAGTTTTCCAGTTGGTTTGTCATTATACTCTCATCCAATCATTAGTTTGTAAGAAGAGGCCAAGGCTGCAATGACTTCATTTAATTTCCTCGTCTGGAAAATGGGAATAATTAAGTCTGTCTCTCAGAATCTTACGCAGTTTTTGAAGTAGTGACTGTGAAAGTCTGTAGTACATCATCCTTAACAAGAATACGGCACCTCCATGGCATATGTACTAATGGGATTCCGTGGAGCCTGCTCCCTTAGCATTATATCAGTAATTCTTTCTTCCCTAAGCTTTGTTGGGACTTCAAAATTCTCAACTGAGAGCTCCAGAGAGTAACTGACAAATTACTGGAGCTTTGAAAACTATCACCATTCCTGGACCTACATCATGAGGGAAGTAATATAAAAGGTTGTTTTCCTCCCTTCCCTTTTCTTTCTCCTTGTCCACTTGTCACTCTCCCTCTATTGTGTCTTCTACCATGATATAGATATATATCATTCACTAATTTAATAAAACTTACTTCTCTCTGATTATATATTGTGATGTATGATAAAAACTAATGGTACCACCATGGCTGAGGGGGAGTGAAAGATAAGCAAGTGTTCAAAAGTTGCAGTCAGACTGCTTTGACTCATATCTTAGTTTTATCATTTTCTGGCCATGTGGAGAAATTACTTGAACCCTCTAATCCTTCATTTACAATATACAATGTAAAAAAGGGTGTAAATTGTAGAATATATGTTAATGTACAATATGTAGTGAAAATCATAAGAGCTTGCCCTGGCCAGTTTGGCTCAGCGGTTAGAGCATCGGCCTGCAGTCAAGAGAGACCCAGGTTTGGTTCCTGCAAAGGGCACGGACCTTGGTTGCAGTTTGTCCCCGGCCCTGGTTGGGTCGTGCGAGTGGCAGCCACTCAATGTGTCCCTTTCTTGTCGATGTTTCTCTTTCTCTCATCTTCTCTCTCTCTCCCACTCTATCTGAACAAAAAAATGGAAAAATGGCCCTGGCCAGTTTGGCTCAGCAGTTAGAGCGTCGTCGGCCTGCAGTCCGGAGAGACCCGGATTCGGTTCCCGCTAAGGGCACGTACTTCGGTTGCAGTTTGTCCCCGGCCCTGGTTGGTCGTGCGGGTGGCAGCCACTCGATGTGTCCCTTCACGTCGATGTTTCTCTCTCTCTCTCCCTTCCCCTCTCTCCCTCCCACTCTATCTGGACAAAAAATGGAAAAATATCCTCGGGTGAGGATTAAAAAAAAAAAAAAAAAAAAAGGAAAAATGTCCTCGGGTGAGGATAAAAAAAAAAATCATAAGAGCTCAATCTCTGCATCTAGACTTCTTCTGGGTTCAAATCTTGACTCTGCTATTTACTTGCTGTGTAAACTTAGGTAAATTGTTATGCAACCTCTCTGTGCCTCTATCTTGTCATCTATAAAATAGGTTACTATAAAAATTAAATGAGTTAAATATGAATTATGTTTAAAAATGCCTAACACATAGTAGTTCTCAATAGATATTATTATTACCATCATCATTATTATCATTATTACTTATCTCATTTAGAGCACTTAGGAATGCATGCAAATTAAATACTTAGTCTATGTTATTTAATTGTTATTTGTGTTTCTGCCTTCAAATAATTGATATATATTTAAAAACAAGTCAATAAGGGGCAAATATTGTAAGCATGATGCACACAATAAATACTTTGTGGGTTTAGTCTAGCAAATGATAGCTAGATTAAAAAGATTGAAAATTTCAAGTATTGGTGAAAAATTGGAGCTACTGAAACTCTGCTATGAATGTAGAGTTTAACAATTATGTTGAAAAAAAAAGTTCAATATCTAATAAAGTTCAAAGTTTCTATATGATTAGATGGAGAAAAAAGTTGAGCTATGGTGCAAGCTCAATGACAACTACAGTTGATGACATGGAATGTTCCGCAATTAGGATGGCCCTGAGAATTGGCTTTATACTTTCTCATGGATTCATTTTGGGTACAAACTACCTAGAGAATGGGCATCTTCTCGGCCAGCGAGATTCTTTGCAGCCTGGAAAGGGTGGGTAGCTGAAGACTCACTACTGTTACCATTCCCACCTATTGGGGGAACAAGTTCTTCACAGAAAGGGGATTTGAGCAATATCAATGTCCACATAGTCCATCTGTTGCCTGCTTTGATCCTCTTCTCAGAAATCTGGAAGCTGTTCCTTCAGGATTCTGCTAGATATATATTCACAGTAAAAATTTGGAAGGAGCAGGTTAATGGAAAGCTATAGCTACTGCTACTGTGGCTTGTCTGGAATGTGGTGGAAGGCAGTTGATACTCATTATCTCTTTACTATCTATTCTATATCCCACTCACTCTCCCCTAGTATATCTACTAGAGTCTAGGATTCTGAGTCCGAGCTCATCATATCCTTCTCAGGCTAAGATCATTGCTCTTGTGCATTTAGTCTTACAATTAGGCAAAGTTGAACCAAAGGTAACCAGCTGGAATACCTGGGTGCAAAACATACTCTTTCCATTCTCAGTGTGTAGCCCCAACCCCTTCTGATCATCTTGGTCTATGGCCCCTGCCAGGGCAATGACTGCTCTTCTTGCCTGCTGATTCCAGAAGGAAGTCACACCTTATAATTCAATGGGATTTGGCTGTAACCCTGGCAGGAGTGTTTCCACTTTGGGAACCAGGACCTCTAGACTTACAGAGCCTAGAATTGAAGGTATAAGAAGTACAAATCTGAGATGATGGTCGTGGTCAAGACCAGAGGGAGGGTGAGTGCATGTGAGAGTGAGCTAGTGTGAGAGAGAGTGTGAGTGGATATGAAGGTGGACAACTAAACTTGTGCAGTGCAGAGACATGGAGTAAAAGATTTCTATGTTGTGGACGGGAGAAGCTGGCCACCATGGTAAGTGGCTCTTCAGGGTGTTTTTTTCTGTGCCACGAGGAGGTCCCACCATTTTGGAAGACCCCAGGACTTCCCTGGGAGGAGGCTATGGGAGTGGCTAGGGCCCAGCAACTTGAGCCCACCAGTGCACCTGGCACCATCAAACCAGTGGACACCCTGTGCCAACACAGACCAGTGCAAAGTAGAGGAGCAGCCAAGGTGCTGGTTGCAGAAATCACAAATGGCCAGGAGCCCAGTACCATCCCCCACAGTAGCAGCCCAATCAGAGTTGAGATATACCCCCAGCAACAGAGGCTGGGGAGCAGACATCCATCCCCAGGCACCAGAAGCACAGACCAGTGGCTGAGATCCATCCCCCAAAATTACAGCAAAGTCTGAGCAGGAGCTGAGCCCCACTGAGCAGAAGCACTCTCAGCCACCAGCGGTGGGACTTAGGGCTCCACAGAGGCCTATGCGAGCCAGCGGCCCACAAGAGTGATGGGAAGCCAGGGCTTGAGAGAAACTGGTGCGATCCAGCTGCCAGCAGGACCTGCGGGGTGCTGGAGCACCAGAGAAACCTATGCAACCCAGCTTCCCACAAGATAAACATGGAGCCAGGTCTCCAAAGGGACTGTGTTATCTAGCTGCCCACAGAACCTGTGAGGAGCTGAGCCACAAGAGAGGCCTGTGTGACCTAGCTGCCCACAAGATACGCATGGAGCTGGGTCTCCAGAATGCACTGTGTGATCCAGCTCCCCATGAGATTAGTAGGAAGCAGGGGCTCCAACAGGGCCTATACAACCCAGCTGCCCACAAGATCAGTGGGGAGCCAGGGCTCCAGTGAGGCCTGTGCAACACAGCTGCCCATAGTATGGGCAGGGAGCATGGTTCCAACAGGGCCTGAGCTATACAGCTACAGGTGGCACCAGTGACCAGATGCGAACACAGCTCCATAGAGGCCCACATGATCCAGCAGCAGCATCTACCAAGACACACCAGTACAGCCCCCAGTAGTCAATCCTCCAAGATCCATAGCAGGCAAGAGGTGACACGCAACAAAACAGTCTGTGAGGCACAGTAGCCTTATTTGATATACAGTGAGCTGCCTAAACATCTAAACATCCCTCAATGGGTCTAGAGCTGCCAGATGGCTAAGATGGGGAGACAAAGAAACAACACCCAAAGTAAAAACAAAAAAAAAGAGGAATCACCAGAAAAGGAACTACAGGAAATGAAAGATAGAAACTTGTCAGATAAAGAATTCAAATCAG